AAGCTTTAACTCAGACTGCTGTGCGCAGTTTCTTGATGGTGGTGCAATGACCAGTATCATCGTATTAGACTGTTCAGAAGGATGTTCTTGAGAACTGCTTTTAAATTCAGGCTCCCTCAGCTGTTATTTTGCTGGCTGAGGAAAATACCTCTCCTGAACAATATGAGCATACTTTGAAGGCCTTATGTATTGAAAGGATGCAGATCTTTATGCTTGTTCTTTCAACTTTTATGTGAGCCACAGTGAAAGCTGGGCCTGATAAAATCATTAAGTGGTTTCATTCTGTTATCCAGTGTTCCCTTTTCATCTTCCCAATCCCTGCACTTCATCAAGAATAATGTTTCAGGTTACAGAAAACTCAACTGTTGGAGCTTTCAGATGACAGCTATAGATGAGATTTCCCAATATTGATCCCCTTTCCCCCTATCACTTTTCTTTCCATACCTGAATCATATCTATCTGAATTATGAGCCAGCAAGGATTTCTCGCTCTGGCAGACTGGATTAGAATCACATAGCACTGGGCCCCAGGTTATTGATTAGCAGCAGACTGACTCTGCTGTTAACCAGGCATTTCTCCTTCTGCCAGAGACATCTCCATTCACAAATACCAGTGTGGAGACACAGAACCTTCTGCACTTGGGGAAAGCTCTGCTGCCATTGTTTGAAAAGATTTTAGCCAAAGGACCACAGCTACTCTCTTTGATGCCCATCAGAACTAACACTGACATTGTTGAGCCTCTTTTGACAGCAGTTGTGCATGTGGGGAAAGATTAAGTGACCCTGAGGTCTGTTTCAGGCCTGTGCTTCTATGATAAACAAGTATGAAAACCAAGTGCTTCATGATTACTGATACAAGTGTACTGATTTAAATGAGAACACATTTAGGGAAATTTGACCATGACTTTTAGGTTTGGATCATATAAAGAATTAAACATGGCAGCATTCAACCTCATTTTAAAGTGCCATTTTGTCAGTTAAATCTGAAGGTGACTCACCACCTCATATGTGGAAATGCAAATGCCTTTGATGGATCACCATAGTGGGGATGTACACACAGCACACAGTAGGATGCAGTATTGATTCACCAGGAGCATGTTATGTTATTTACCATAGCAATTTTTTGTCTTATATTCTTATTTTAAAGGGGTCGTCCATGAGTGTCAACATTTTAAGACAGAAACGTATGGAGGACTCTAATTTTATGAAGCCTGGAAAACATGCATTGGAAGTATTGCATTTTAATGAAGTAGTTATGAAACATGGCTGAGAAAAAAATAAAGATACTCTACAATACAAATCAATATAAAGCATGGCAAGTACAATTAGTACAGCTGACCAAGTAAGAGTCTTTCAAGTACAGAGTTTAAGATACTGGTATATAAGGTAAAGCACATGACAGAATTCTTACATGTAGCTCACTTATTTCTCCTTCTGAAGAAAAGCAGTAGTGAAGACATTCATGTACTGCAGTGAAGTGCGAGCTTTAGAAGAACAATCACTTGAATCTCCTTGTATGGAGAAAGACAAGAAATGCAAGCAGGCAGCTCCAACTCATATATGCTGGATTGCTTTCTAGAGCTTCCCGTATCTCCCACAAAGAACTTAGGACAAACACAACAGGCAACGGTGGAAAGTCCCAAGAAAGGAAATCCAGTTGGGTTACAGCACAAAACCTCTTCAGGATAAGGGTGGTTAAGGACAGGAACTGACTGTGTGGGGAAGCTGTGGGTGAGGCCCTGAGCAAAATCACCTTGCTTTGAAGTTAGCACTTCTTTGAGCATGTGATCAGACTAGAGTTTGCATTAGAGACCTCCAACTAAAACCAACCTCAGTCTATGGTCCTGTATACTCTTGGCTTAGGTACTCTGCCTCCACCCCTCATCCCAAACCTTCCTCTTTTTACAGTAATACCGATCCTGGATGTATTTACAGGTATAATTGGCCACCGATTTCACAAAGAGTATTTGTATGCATAAACCTAAGCATATTCATGGAACATGGCTACATAGAGATGTGGATATTGGTACGATCTTTTTTTTTTATTCTACCTTTCCCCTTTCCACAAATGCTTCAAGAGTTTTTAAACTTTCTTTTCTGTCAACTCCAATTTCAGTTGCCACATGGCATATTGCTATAGCCCTTTATCTTTCTGATTTCTATCTTGCTTCCACTGGATTGCAGTTGCCACTGACACAGAAATAAGAATCCTATGATATTTTTCGATGCTCATCAAGAAGATGTCTTAAAAATGATGGGGAAAAACCCCACATTATTTTTAGAGTCTCAGAAGTGGCTTGCAATTTTTGATTAGGAAAGGTATGTTTGAATGATATCTGTTGATGTTCAGAGACTGCCTCAAAGATGAGTCACTAGAACTGGCAAATACAACCTTGAAAATGCCACTAAGCTGTTTTCTCTTTTCTGTTTGTCTATGCACTGACTGAAATGTTACCTTGATGTAATTTCACATAATAACATTGTGCTCTCCTACACTACACTCCATGCAAATTATCTTCACTACTGTATCTCGAATGGTCAACGTTGTATTATTTAGGTTAAATGTTACAGAAACTTACCAGGGATGGTAAAAAATCCATACAGCCTCTGATAAAATCTGCAGAGCCTTGCAGGTCTAAGTTAAATTTATTTAGCTACACAAATTCAGTAGAAAGGATATTTTCAGCTCTATGGAGGCCAATGCATACAATTTTGTGAATTCTAACTCTAAGAGACTGCACATGCTCTTGTCATAAAAATATATCCATATATGTGTGTCTAATTTTACCCTTGGTACATGCTCTTCTTCTCTTCAAAAGAATGGGAAGGCAAAGCAATTGATACTATTTATCAGCTCAGAACAGGGCAGATAAGAGGACAATGGACTAGCTGATCTGCCGAGCTCAGCAGGTTGTGATCAGCAGCACAAAGTCCAGCTGAAAGCCAGTCATTTAATGATGCATCTCCTGGGTCAATACTACGGAGAATACTGTTGAAGCTCATTGATGATCTGGATAGTGGGACTGGGTATAGGCTCGACATGTTTGCTTATGACACAAAACTAGGAGGACCATTTGTTACACCAGATGGCTGTGCTGCCATTTGGAAGGACCTCAACAGGTACAAGAAATGGGCTTACAGAAACCTCATTAAGTTCAGTCAAGGTAAATGCCAAGTCCTGCACCTCAGCAGGAATAACCACATGCACCAGTACAGGCTGGAGGAAAGCTAGCTGGAAAGCAGCTCTGCAGAGAAGGACCTTGGAGTTCTGATGGACAGCAAGCTGACCAGATGTCAGCAATGTGCCCTTGCAGCAAGATGTCCAACAGCATCCTGGGCTGTTTTATGGAGACCCATGGGTCAAGGGAGATGATCCTTCTGCTCAACTCACCCCAGTGAGACACATCTGGAGGGCCAGGTCCAGTTCTGGACTCTGCAGTAAAGGACAGTCAAAGAAATACTAGACCGCGTCCACCAAAGGGCTAGGAAAATGGTTGAGACTGGAGCATCTCACATAGGAGAGGCTGAGACAGCCAAGACTGTTCAACCTGGAGCAGAGAGGGCTCAATTGGGTCTTAACCATGCAAATACTTTCTGGGTGAAGTAAAAAGATGGAGCCAGGCTTCCCTCAGTGGTGTCCCGTGACAGGATGACAGGCAATGGGTACAAACTCATACACAGAAAATTCAACTTAAAACACAAGGCAAATATTTTTTACTGTGAGAGTGATCAAACACTGAAACAGGTTGCTCAGTGAGGTTGTGGAGTCTCCATCCTTGCTGATATTCAAAACCCAGCTGGACACAGCTGAGAGTAATCTGCTGGAGCTGATCCTGCTTTGAGCAAGGGGGTCTTAGTAAACGATCTCCAGAGGTCGCTGCCAACATCAGCCATCCTCTGATTCTCTGTTATTTCATAAGTATCCAAGAGGAGTGGCTGGCATAGTCATGAACTCAGGCTACACAATAAAGAAATTATCTAAAATCTTGTAAGTTACTGACTGAATAATTATGGCAAGCCATTGCTCAGCATGCTCAGTAAACAGTTGGATCTATCTGAGTTTCAAAACAGACCTGTGCAACAGACTAATTCTTTTTAAAAATAGAACATGGATAGTCTTAAAAAGGAAGGTAAAGCAAGGACACACAAAACTTCATAACTATTTGTTCAAGTGGTTTAATGTAGAAACTCATTCTCATATGAGAATAGAAACTATTTTATCTATTTTGAAATAATATAAATAGCTAAGAAGACCTAAACCAAGAAGGGAATTTATGAGCTGAAGAAACAATTCTTAAAAGAAAAGTCCCACAAAATACATTTATATGATAGAAAATACCTTTCGAAAGGTTTTGCACTAGGATGTGCAAAATATATTTCCACAGAATTCCATGGGATACTTCAGAAAACCTAGACAAAGATTTTAATTTTCTATTAAACATGAAAGATTTTTAATGTAATTTTCTACATCCATATTACTTTTCTACAGAAGACTTGTCTTCCTCAGATCATTCAGATCCTCAACAGTAGTGTGAACATTCATTCATTTTATTGTTACTATTTTTGGCTTTCTTTTACTTTCACTGCATAAAACCCCAAAACTCCCAATAATAATAAACTCAATTCAGAGCTGTTGTGCCTAGTTACTTGAGCATGCATTGTACCTGTCATGGCTTTTTGGCCTTAGAAATCTAACAAATGCTTTTAGCTTTTGTGACTCTTTATGGAGAGTGCATACATTACTGACTTTTTATACACATTTCATGGGGGTTCAGTTCCTTTTTTACTCTCTGGTGTCCTCTCTGAGGCATAACAGCTAAAAACACTATTTAACTTCAACTCCAGTGCAGGATGGCTATGAAAAGATCAGAGACAGAAGAACTATTTCTCTTTCTTTCTTAAATATGATTGGGTTAAGAACTTTCTTTCAGAAGTAAACTAAAATGAAACATAGAATAGAATAGAATAGAACAGAATAGAATCACAAATAAACCCCACCCACTGTTCGAGCATTCCATTTGAAAATATGCTTAACAGTTTTGAAAGATATCTGGGAATCCATCAAGTATGTGATTATCTTGGTGGTGGAATTACACAGAAATTGCATCAACCTACTGTGTAAAACTCTTCTGGCATGCTGCCCCAGACACAGTACAGAGCCTATATGCCAGCTAAGCAATGACTGTAAGTGAACTTCAGGCTTTAATTTTCACCTGTGCATAGCATTGGAGAGCATTTAGTGCTGTACAAAGCTGTAGTTTAGCTGGTCTATGCCTTCTCTTGTTGAGGAACTTTGGTATTAATGAAGTGTCTCCCACTAAAAGTGAACCAGTTCTTACTCTCTGTAACAGAATCACATGGAAATAGTTGCTCTGTGTGTTTTCATGTTTGATAGTTTCTTTCCTCTATAATTTCAAAACTCATATGAATCCAGTGATTTTCTCCATGATCTATTTTTGCAGAAAAACAGGTATATCAGTGATCATACAATGCACAGCAGTCGATGCTAAGAAAAAAATCCAGACTATATAATAGCTGCTCATTCTTCACTTTGATGTCTTTAACAATTGTCAGCTATTTGGTATCCACCTCATTCTTCCATTCTATTATGCAAAGCTCTACTACCTAATAAAAATCATAGTGTTATGATAAAGAGAGAAGCTTTATGAGACTTCAGCAGGTGCTAGGATATTTTCTTCTATAAAACTGCACTTGTTCAGGATGGCTTCAGTTACATTTTAGCAGGATGTTATTTATGTCCATGTATTTCTCCTTTAAAAGTTTCAAAGGGCAAACTAGGTAATGTCATTAAGTGGCTGAACACAGTAAAGGTTCCAAAAACTAGGTCATTATTGAGATTAACGACTGGATTAAAAGGATTTAGGAGAGTGGTAGGATTTTGATTTGCAAATTACTCCAAAGACCTTTGACTTATGTAAAGTCTCCTCTTAAAGACTATCAAGCCAAAGTATTACATCAAGCAATTTAGTTGTTGCAAATTACTCTTGCCTGTTTTTTGACCTTGTGTGTATTACCCATATTTCTATACTGGAGTTGTTTTTTATAATTCAACACTTGGATTGCTCTTTTGGATGTGGCAAATGCAGAGGGAGCACTAATGTGAAAGAGATAATTTGTAAAATAATTAAATCTTATTAAGTATAAACTATGAGATTCTTGAAGGATTTCACCTGAGAGTCTTTTAGCCAGATGCTAAAACAGGAGACCTTGTTTAACAGCAGATTCTAGAAATTCAACCAAAATCAAGTCCCCAGAAAAAGCCTCACAAATTTATTTAGATTAAACTTTGTGTCATTCTACAAGAGTATACACAGCTGTTTTAGTATATGAAAAATAATTCTAAGAGTGCAAGCTTATAAATGCTTTGGGAAATTAAACTGGAGGGTCTGCATGGCTGAGGTCACCCATTTAGCATCAGCTAAAGGGAAAAAAATACTTTTAGGGGTTACTTAGTATAAAACTCCCTCCATTGACAGCACGTGTTCGTGTCTTAGCCTGTGTGAGAAGGTTGTTTATGGCACTTGTATGTTTTGGTGTTTGAAAGAAGGAGGGGAGGTACTTCTGTGCTGGCAATTTAGCACAGCCAAATGTGGGGGTGGGAAAGAGGGCAGATGACATTCTGCAGATGAGTGGTTCTGTAAGATACAACATTTGTGACAACAGGCAAAATAGGCAAAATGCTTCAAATGCACCCCAGGGTTAGAAAAGGTAAATAATTTTAGGATTTTCAGCACATAGTCAATAAATGAAGGCAAATACTTGCGGGTCATATTTTCATGAAACATATTCTTGATACATTATCCAGTTACTCATATCTGAAGAGCACTCTATTTTTACAAAACTTTAACCTGGCAAATGCTCTTATAATTTTACTGCTCTGCTTTTAAACAGTATTACTTTAAAATGTCAGTCCCCACTGGCTTGTCAGAGTTGGGATGATGTAATTTCAGAAATTGCCTTAATCACCTTCAACCTTTAAAGTACAAATTCTAACCAAAGGTACTAGTAATGCTGTTGTGTCTGAAAAACATACGTGGTATATGAGATCACTAGTTCAACTATGGGATTCATGTACATACATTACTCACAACGTGCATAAGTTTCTTCTGAGTTCAAGGGGAATGGATGACAAAATTCCCAGGTAAATACATCTTAATTATGTAGTGAGTGAACGAATACAAAAGTAAGGGCAAAGAATGGTCCAATAAGATGAGCTTAGGTTTATCATTCAGGAGTTGGTTTAGTGTTAAGATACCCCTTGTGCAACATTATAAAAGCCTATCAGTAACTTTTAGATTCCAAAAAAGCCAGAACCGAAACATTTAATTCTTACATCAAGAAAATAACAGAGCTTCTCTTTGAACACAGCTTCAGCTCTAACAAACTGTAGCTTTCAACATTTTCTTCTGTCAGTACCTTGTTGGCAGAGTTATTATGAGGAATGCAGCTTTTCCACTTGCTGGCTTCATCCCCTTAATTTTGTTTGTAGTCAAGCTGGCTTTCTATTTCTACAGCATTCAGATCTCATCAAATGTTTTCTCCAGTCTAAAAATGTGATTCTTCTTTCTTTCCTTAAGCACTTTTCCACTGTAATTACAGAAAGCAACATTTAAATGTGCATCATGAAAAGGTGTTATTCATGTAGAAAACTCCAAGAGAAAAATGCCTCATTTTAAAATCTGGTCTCAAAAGACTCAAGGCTGGAAGGGATTAAAGGGATAAAAAAGGGATACAAGAAAAGCTGATGTGGTAAATTGTCCTGACTAATGTCCATGGTTCTGACCAAGTGTTAGATTTTGATCCCAACATTATTTTTTTCTCTATTTTACTTAAAAACAGGTGTTGACTTTAAAAGGAGAGGATCACAACACAGGCTGCCTTAGTTATAGATGACAGGCCAATACTCAAGATGCAAATTTAGCTTCTCGGTATTGTTTGCTTATGGTTTTCTGGAGTCTTGGCTGTAATGTCTTCAGAAGGAGACGTGAAGAGCTTGTCCTATACAAATTGCTTTTGACCTGATGGAAAAGGCCACCACTTCAGAAGCAAGAACTGTGCCTTTGAACTTGACAGAGTTATAGAGTGGCTTTGCTTGGGAGAGACCTTGAACATAGAATCATAGAATCACAGAAACATAATCACAGAATGGTTAAAGTTGGAAGGGACCTTAAAGATCACCTGATTCCAGACACAGACAGGGACACCTTCCACTACATCAGGTTGCTCAAAGTGCTGCCCAGCCTGGCCTTGAACACTTCCAGGGATGGGGAATTCACAGCTTCTCTGGATAACCTGTTTTCCAGTGCCTCGCCACCCTCATAGTAAAGAATTTCTTCTTTATACCTAATCTAAATGTACCCTCTTTTGGTTTAAAACCATTACCCCTTGTCCTATCCCTACATGCCCTTTTAAAAAGTGTTTGTTAGACTGAGATGTCCAGCCCAGCAGCCTTACACATCCTGGGAAACTGTCCTTGCCGCTAAGCTGTATCATTGGATGTAATTTGTAGTGATAAGTTGTTGCAACTACCTTTTATGAAGAATCACATCTTGTTGACTTATTTTGGCCATGTCGTGAGGATAGCTACTCCCTTGAGGGGATTCACATTGGAAAATGCCATGTTGCTGGGTTCACTTCAAGTCTGAATGGAAGACAGATGTTGAAACATCCAACTTCAAAACTCATGGTCCTGTAGAAAACAGAGTTTTAGCTGCCAAGGGATCCTAGATGTCTGAGAAGCACCTACAGAAGAAGAAAATAGCTGAGTCAGGGGTCTGGGGCTGTAATACTCAAACCTGATTTTGGTATTTAAGAGCCTTAATTCAGTCCTTTAAAGAGACCTCAGGTTTGGAAGGCACAGCATGTTAAAAGGTGTAGTGGGAAAGTGAACATCCATCCCACAGATTCTCCCCAGCCCCCTGCAGAGGAGTGACAGTGCTCCTTCAGTCAGCCATGCCTGCAGGTGCTGGGAAGTGCTGTGTGAGATCCTCACTGCACACAGCCTCTGACTGCCTACAAACACTTAGCAGCAAAGAAGCACATATTGGTGGATTATACTAGTTCGTCATGACTAACATAAACATGTTTATGTTTATCTGCTCTTGGCTTCAGCACCTGTTTCTTGCTCCAGCAGAGGTTTCTATTTAAGAAAGGATTAAATGATGTTCCCTAAAATATGAGGAAGAAGTGATTAGCGATATTTCCTTTGCTTTGGAGGATCAAAAGAAAAACAGTTTCAATAAAAAAAAGTTTCAATGTACAAAAATCGGAACCTTTTGATTACTAGTTCTTATTCACAGAATCTAGAAGGAAGCAAGTCCTGAAAGAATCATTCATAAACATCAGTTACAACAATACTGCAGAACAGCATCTTCGTAGCTGTTCAACCAAGTGAACCAAGGACAAGGAAAGGAAGAAGAGATTCTTGGATTTTTTTTTTTTTAATGGAAACCAAAAGATTTTAAGAAAAAGCTTCTTGAAGTGCCAAAATATTTGATGCAATATCTCTAGTTTCATACAAAAATAATTATAAATATAAAAAAACAGGTGTGCACACCACAAACTTTGGCAGGTCAACATAAAAAGAGCTCTAGCTGACAAGTACTGTGCAATACCATTGGAAGTGTAAGATTTGGACTTCCCGATAGTTCCAGCAGGTCTCAGCCCAAAGACCTTTATGTCTTTTTCAGGCATCTAGACATAAAGGGTCAGCTTTTCCAAGGTTCTCAAGGTAACTTGGGAAGATGTCACAGAAAATTACTGGTGGAAGCCAAACATATCTATATGTGTTTAGGAGGTTTATTGTTATTTTGAAATGGTAAAGCTTTTTGTGTTTTGGTGGTGCTTTTTAGTTTTTGTGGTGGGGTTTTGGGGGGTTGGTTGTTTTTTGGTTTTGTTTGGTTTTGTTTGGTTGGTCGATTTGGCTTGTTTTAATCCCATGGGTATCTACAGGAACATTTGGAAGACTTACTTAAATTGTGTCCCTGAATTTCTTCCTCAAACAGCTTCCACTCTAGAGATAGAATTCACCTACCTTTACCTATATAGCAGTTGAGCATCTACTCCATGCTAGATGGCTGCATTCCCTTCAAAAAGTAAGTGGGTAGCCCACTTCCAGAGGGCAATTAATTTTAATCTTTCTAAATTACTTTTTATAGTATAAACTGAATCACCCTCAGGAGGTTCCTGTCACTCTCTACTGACTCTCACTTAGACTAGATTATTAACTTCTAGATGGCTGAAGTTAGGTGAATCCCATTTGAAAAGACAATGTTTAAATGATGAATAGGATAAACAGAAAGGTGACAAGAAAGAAGGACAAGGGATTTTAAAAATACATTTTAGAATCAATCATCACAGTATGTAACCTTTATTAAATCAGCACCAGAAACTGCATTTTTTTACTAATCTAAGTTTTCATTACTTCAGTAATTGAAATGAAGAACATCTATCAGTAGGAAGAAGATGAGATCTGCCACTCAAATTTAGCCTGCTAGTCAGAGAAGTCCTTGCATTACAGAAACCAATTAATTTGTCTGTCCTTTCTTTTAACAAGAGGTAATTCAGATTACAGACTATTTCCATCAGTATTGGTTGTCATATCGACTTAAACAAGTGGTCCAATCGTATTATTCTTCAACTGCCCACACACAAACATGCATGTTTCTCCAACTTCTGGTTGCAGAATAGAGTGACTTCCAAAAATAATTTCATAATTTTAAATTTCTCATCTTACTACTGAGTGTACACACTCAGCATCTACATTTTATCTAAAGTGCCGGAAAAATGAGCAAAAACATCATTCAAACTGTTCATTTCATGTGATAGATTAGCTATACACATTATTATATGTTCCTTCTGTCTTTTCGTTGCTTTCCTCTTCTTTCTTTTCTTTCTTTCCTTCAAGCAGCAGCCGTTATATTCAAAGATGGAAAAAAAAAATCAATAAGGGTCACACATCTTTCTTTTATTTATGAGCTAATTCAGTTACATCAGATGAATAAGTGCTGTTTCCAACTATGTTTTTTAACACTTACCACAAGTGATTTAGATTGTGGGATTTTGAGTCTACTAATTTTATTAGCCAGTGTCTGAGCTGTTGTTTTACAACCAAAAAAATCTGAGAGATAAGAAATTCACTGTAGCCCGGTATCTCTTCACACTGTGCAGTTGAAATACAGCCTTGAGCAACCACCATTCCACACAATAGGATACAACCTTCTGTGGCTCTGCATCCTCTATGCAGAGATTTACAGTGCAATCCAAAACATCACTTACACGCCCAAAGTAAAAGATCCAGCAGTATTAGATTGTATCTATGAGACTTTGGGTAAGATATACTCCACAACCCAATACGTACTTGTGGTCCCACAACTGGCCAGATCAAAATCCCAGCTGGAGAGCAGTGCCATACAGGCAGCTCCCTCCCAGACCATTCCCCTGGCCCTGCTGTCTGCACAGGGGGTGGCATGGCAGCAGTACAGGCATGCTGCAAGGAGCAAGATGTAGCTCAGGTTCTCCCAGAACTGGAAGTCTCAAAAAAATCTTGAGGTCCCACAACAAAAAATAAACTCTACTCTGTTACTACAGGAGTTACTGGGCATGTGCAGATCTGCAGAATTAAAATTTGATATTTTTCAAGCAGAAAGATCAAAAGAAAATAGGATTGGCGGTGCTTCATGACAAAAATCTGTGGACAAGGTATTCTTACAGTATCTGATTATGCAATTTATTAAACAAATCATAGAATTTCACATTATAGAATCTGGAGAAGAAATTATGTGGGAACATGATGCTTTTTCTTTCTTGGCACTAGAAAGGAAATCAAGCTATGAAAAGCTTTAAGGAAGTATGAAAAACATGAAATGAAACCAAGCTGAGCCAGGAAAGTCAAACTTGTGGTTGAAATTCATGATTGTTTAGGGGAAATAGGGAGGAGGGTGCATCACTTTTTTCTAGTTTAGTGGAAATACCACTTTGGGCAAGGCATTCTGGCTTAATTTTTTGGCTTAGGTTTGTCTGTTTCTGTCAATAAAGTGGTTCAAAATCGAAAGATTAGATTAAAAAATCAAAATTTAAAAGGCTGTAGAGGTTCCTGACAAAGTTACAGCCTAAATTCACACTCTTTGTGGGAAGGAGCTCCAATGAACAAAGACATCTTCATATTAATTTTACCTGCGAAAATAAACCATACAGATATAAATGGAAAAAAAAAACCCTCAACTTTGTAGTCAAAGATACTATTTCTTCTTTTGTCTTTTTTCTTGACACTTTTAACTATTTTTAGAACACCACAGTGAATTCAGACTCAGGGTAAGAAAAAATATGAAAGCTGAGTTGCCATTTTTTCTACTTCTCCATTTTTCAGCTTCCAATTTCATCAGTATCAACACTAAAAAATACTGTTAATTTTCCTTATACCTGGATATTCTTATATAAGAACATAGCTGAAAATAAGGATATTGACCTTTCAGTTAATATGTTTTAGGCTACATCAGGAGTTAGTGATATATTCAGGATACTAATTTCAAGCTAATCATTTGTTAATTATGTTAATGAGGCTGTTAATAACTTTATTAACTTAGTATCTCAGCACATCATCATCTTCAGCACTGCTATCCCACAAATCCCCTTGGATGGCAGCTCCCATGGAAGCTATGTGACGTTCCAAGACAGTCTGGGTGAGACTGATCTCACGGAAGCATCTATGATTCACATGACTCCTTTTTGAATACCTTCTATAGAAAATTAAGAGAAATGGGTACCTTAGGAAATGATTAATCTGAGCTATCTATTTCGGGATGAGAGAAACCATGTCCTAGAAATGTCTTTTTCTTTCCTTCAACTATAAAGGGACTCTGCCCTCCAAGTGTGATGAATCCTAACTTTCCTGGTCATAGAGACATCATTTAAGGTATGATGGAATGAAGCTCTTTGCTCCAAATACTTTAGGAATAGGCTCGTTGCTTCGGGGACAGGAATCTAGGGAAGATTTGGGCATTTGTGTGAATTTTGATCCCAGCAATAAAATGGAATCCTTTAAAAAAAATATCGAGGCCATTTTAAGAGGTAGTACAAAGTAGTATTCTTTTCTAGACTTACTATTGTTCCGCAGAGTTAATTTAAATGTGAATTCAGCACCAGAGATCTTTTCAGTGCTGTTTACATTTCTTCCTCTGGCAGATTGTTGGTTAGATTGAACTGCACTGAGCAAACTTTATATTTGTGGCATCTGCAAATCAAGGACTAATGTCCCTACGAGATGTCCACTCTAAGGGCACAGACTGACCCCCTAGGAACAAACCTAGGAGAAACCTAGAGTTTCTCGTAAGCATAATCAAAATTGAGAGTTAGGAGACTGCATGAAGAAAACTATAGGCAACTTTTGATACATCAGACTGAACCTTAAACTAGGCTAGGTCTTCACTTGTTTTATTTTTCTCCAGTACTTGACTTCCTACTCAGCTTCTACTCTTTCACTCTCAAGGGTGTCCTGAAGGTATTTGGAATGAGCTTAAAACAGCTTTGGGTTTCTTTCCAATTACACTGCTCTAAAAGAGCACATCACACTGATCTTTGCATAGTGAAATTTCTTTTTGAAATATCATCATCATGTTTAGTGCTACAAAGAATGGTATTTTTTTGACCCTTTTAGGGTCCTTAAAGTGGAACTCCTATCGTGTTCTTTAATGACTTTAGGGTGGAAGACCTTGATGCTGTTCAGCAATATATTCACCTGAAAA